GTCCAGATCTAAACCCGTTATCAAAATACTCGGGATATTAGCTACCGATGAGCATTCACAAGCGAGATATCTAAAACATTTAATAAATCTCACGAGGTGAACACTTACTTGGAAATACTTTGGAAGAGTGTTGTATTTACAGACCTCTTGAAATGCCAGTAGGGTCATTACATGCCGCAGATGTAGAACATATGCCGGGCATATTGTGCTTAAGCCACCAAAGACTTAAAGTCTCGGGAATAAGTAGGTGGTCGCGTCCAACATTGTGATTGATCATTAAAATAGTATTCCAACTAAAAATATTTGATTCTTAGGTGGTCGTGTCCAACATTGTGATCTCCTTTTATTCATTTTGATGACAAGTATTTTCGGACGAAGGTCATTTCATCAAACACCTGAAAGGTATAGTTTAATTAGTATCAGTACATAGTGATTATTGCTACCATGAATTTATATATATATATATATATATATATATATATATATATATATAGAGAGAGAGAGAGAGAGAGGGAGGGATCATAGTATGCATCGTCCTTCGCTTATCTAGTGCGAGGAACTACAGATAGAAAGGAGAAATATGCTTGGCACTGATGGATATAGAATGCAGTGCATCATAACCAAATATGGACAAAGCAGCGATGGCTGTAAAAGCAACCACGTGATGAAAATTTGCAAATGGAAACATGGAACAAAAACAGTAAGAGTTTCCATCTCATGTACAGTAGTAAAGGAACCCTGAAAATGGCTGTAAAAGCAATCACGTGACCGATAACGTACTCCCTGTCGTAAAGGAACCCTGACATATAAAGTTGTACTATTTCATCAGATACCTTATTAGCGCAGTAGTACGTCTTTCTAGATGCCTAGACCCTGCGACCGATAACATACTCCCTGTCGTTGCAGAAGAATGAAAACTGCACAGGCAAGGCAAGCAGTGACGGCAAAACTTATATAGTTTGTAATGCTTTCCAGAAATATTGCCAGGGATATCATGCAGATAGTGGCAAAGCAGTACTGCGGCGGGCATTCTAGAATGAAGCAAAGCGACCAATTTTTTTAATCCTAAGCTATAGTATAGTATCTTGTATGCCTAAACACTGAATAACTGAACCAAATTTCATTGCAATCAGTATCACAAATCTACATCTCTCGTCAACAATCCAAAAACAGTACAATAATTGATATAATTTTGAAAAGTTCAGACACTGTTGCTCTTGAATTGTAAGGCTATGTCTGAATCAACTTTGAAAGACTACACACACAAAATTCTTCAGTTATGCAGTCGCTCAACTAAAAAACTAACTAAGAAGGCTTCATGCATACCTCGGGATCTCTTCTCCAGGCCTGGTACCGCATCGTCGGCAATGTGTGTTCCATCATGTGTAGGCTGGGCCGCCGTCCTTCTCTTCGACGACCCTCCCTGCATCAAGTCCATGTGCTCACTGAAATTGTTGCTCCGGCGCCACAGAAGCCGCCTTTGCTCTACACGATTTACAATCAAATCAGGCGACCACAACACGCACACACAGGCTGCACCCTCTGCCTGTAGCCGCCGGCTCGCGTGCACCCTCAAGCACAAACCTGCATGCACCTCTGCCGACTGGCCTCTGACGCATACGCTCTGCAATACACTGAGTTTGAGGGGATGATTACATAATTCTGAAAAGGTTCAAGAATTGTATATCTTTTAAAAGCATAAACAACATAATTCAGAATCTACTGGTGCAAAACTTACACATTCACAACTTTCCCTTTAGTAGTTTTTTAAATGCATAAAGAACATCATATTTCTCATGGGCGGCCTGCTGGTTGCACAAATACTCCAGGAGAACCATAGCTGATTAGTTTCACTTCTTTATAGATTTCCATTTTGCGCTAGTCCACCAAGTCCTCCACCAATATCCGCGACAACCCCGTGGCACGGTAAGTGAAGGATACATCACAAATACTCTGAAAAAGGATGAAAAATAAACATAATTGTCAAATGAAGATATTATTATGTAAATGCAACAGCCGGAGAGGCTTACGTTCAAGCTGAAAGAGCCATGATCCCACAGGTCCTAATCCGTCCCTTCGTGTAAATAATAATGGAATTGATACAGTGCTTTAATATAGCATTTGACAAACAATAAGCAAGAAGAATGCTTCATTCTCTAATACATGTCTTTAGTTCCTGCATACACACTGGACGGATTTAATTCAGATGAAGATAAGGAAAAAAGGGTGCACCCTTTCTATGCACATGGCATATCCATTAGAGAATTAGTGGCAGTGGTTAACCTAAAGAGTCTGGAATTACAGTACACAAAAAGAGAACAGGGAAATGTGTAGACATCATATCATACAGCTAGAATGCTAAACGTTGCTCCTAACTGAACTGAACTAAGATGGCAGCCAAATCTGAACTTGAACTCAACTAAATGGCTACTTGAGCTAATATAATTGGTCCAAAAAGGTCATTTTAAAACTGTATCGGAGATAACCATGGAAATAATTTATAGAACATAAAAAAGAAAAAGAAAATTTAGCTTCTCGTAACCGTACAAGTGGCAGGAATATACAAACAGAATTATCTTTGGGTGCCCAAAACAACTTCACTTCAATTACTCACTATACAATTTGGTTCTGTAAAATGGTAGATCGGAAGTTTCTTTCTGGTTGATACAATAACTATGCATGAGGTGCTAGCTCCAGTAAAGTAGTATATGTTAGTTCTACCAGATTGCAATAATATCGGATAAGCCTCCAAATAGGTGCATGTTGACAAGAAAATATGACTGGTATACTAAGTATTCACTATAACATGCATGCTTTCTTAATGGTAATATTTGTTGATTTCCATATTCTGCAAATACGAACGACTGATGCTTTCCCACCACGAATACATTTTTTACTACCCCACACTAAAGTATTGGAGTACTATGCAACCCCACACCGAAGTATTGGAGTAGTACTGACAACAACACACTAACAATAGCACCGTACCTACAGAGTCTCTCGAGGTCTTTCTTTAACTCAGGAGCGTACTTCAGACCTGACATATCGAACCTGAACCTGAAAACAACGATTGTCGGTTTAATAGATAGTGCATATGCACAACCAAGTGATAGTTTAACTGGACATCAAAATCCCGTTGTCCACAGGCGTAATTTAAACCCTGCCGGGCATGAAGATCATGGCACACACCATTCTAAGAAAACTAAGAAATTTTATTTGTCGTGGATGTGGTGGTGAGAACACAAAACAGCAGGGGCACACCAAGCAGACGTGCACAGCAGCAGCAACCAGCAACATCCACACATGCACATTAGCAAGCAAGTATTGAGATCTGCCAAGGCCGTATGGGGCAAGATAAGCGATACATGGGGCAAGATAAGCGATACATGCTTGACCATACGTGCAGTAGGGAATATGTCGAGGGCGCGGCGGCGTACCTGTCTTTTTAGCGTGGCCGCGGGTGGAGACGGAGGCTGGTAGCGGCTCCCCAGGAAGAAGACCTTCTTCCGCCACAATGCCATCACCGCACACGGGCACCAGCATCCTCACGACGGCACCCATCCTCGACGACCCCTCTTGCTCTTCATTCCGCCATCATGGTGGTGGTGTCCGTGGAGGGCATCCGGTGGCGGGTAGCAGCAGGGAAGCGGCGGCGGGTGAGAACCCTAGCTGGATGAGGGGAAGAAACTGGGAGGGGCGTGGCCAGGGAAGGAACAAGATGGAGGCGATCTCGTACCTCGGCGGCGGCGGAGGCGATGGAGGGGATCGAGGGGAGCGGCCACCATGTAGAAAGACAGCGGTGTTTCTCCTTGGCGCTCGTTCAGTGGGGAAGCACTGGCTGCGACGGCTACGAGGCATGGATGGCTGGCGGCGTGACGGCTACAGCCGGCGTCGGCGTTCGTGGTTGGGACTGCAATGGCGTGGGCGAACAAGGAGAGGCGTGAGTAGGTTTCGGTCTCAGATGGGGATGGAAAGGAGAGATGCGTACATGGTGAGGGGGCGAGATACCGGCGGCGGCGTATGGAACCCTAGCTCGTCTCGTTCCTCGGCGCCGGTGGCTCGTCTCGTTCCTCGCGGCGACGACTTGTCTCGGATCGGCGGCATTTCAGGGATCCGCGAGCGCGAGGGCGACGGCGAAGGTATGGATGCGAGGGCGAGGGCAACGGTGACCTGGAGGCGGCGGCTCCTCTCGTTCCCCGGCGGCGGCGGCTCCTCTCGGGGCTGGGGCGTCCTTTGAGAGATGAAGCAGATCGAGATCTGATGAGCCTGGTTGACTGTTTTCTTACGTGCGGCCTGAGATACGAAAGAAAACCATACAGAAAACGACGAAAAAAATCTAAGAAGGTTAACCTACGAAAAAAACCCGGACAAAAGTGGTGGGACAAAATTAACCGGCGGAGACTACCAACTGCTTCATTAGAAGTAGAGATGTAGTTTGCCAGTGGTGGATCTGATCGCTTTGGTTTTTTTTTCTTTTTTCCTTGCCTACTTTACTATTTGCTGACTTAATTTTTAAGTGCATGCATTGATGTTGGTTTTGTGCATTTTATTTATACAGAGACCAGTGTGTATGTTTATTGTATTTATATTCTCTTGATGCTTCATCTTAAATAAATAAATCGATCTTTTATCGAAACAAAGAAAAATAGGGAGCGCTACTTCAAAGTCCGAGATTCTCTCCACAAAAGAGGAAAGTCCAATATTCTAGAGCCCCAAAATGCCGGTCAAATTAGAATAGTACTACTGGTCAGGGAGCCGCCAACCCCAGGAAGCAGAACCCGGCTCAGCCGTTCATCTCGGCTCCGGTGTCCGGTCCGACCACCCGTCGCCTTCGGCCGCCGCGCCGGTCACCCAGACCGTCGGGCGCCTCCTCTCGCACCGCGCACCATATAGCCTCCGCTCTCCCTCTCCGTCGACCGCCGACCGCCCGTCTCGTCTCGAGCAGAAAAGAGACCGCCGACCACCCAGCGGGCCAGCATCCCGGACGACGAGCCGCCGCGATGGGTGTCCCGTCAATCGACTGGGAGGCGGAGAGCCACCCCGCCTACGCCGACTTCGCGGCCCTCCCCTTATTCGCCACCTTCTTCCTCGCCGCCCGCTTCCTCCTCGACCGCTTCGCATTCGAGGTTGTGACACTCCAGACAGTTTCCCCCCGCCCCGCTCAGTTTCGAATAATTTCCTTTGTCGTTTGCCCTCACGATCCAACACCTAGGTAATGCTCGAGTCATTTTGTTACTAGTAGTACAAATGGTAGTTTCTAAAGGGAATGGGGTGCCGACGGTGAGTTCTCGTGGTAATTATTTGCTATAAATCTATCTATGATCATCTGCTAGCGTGGTCATGATTAACTGGTGTTTTTAAACGAAGAAATGCTGTCATGACTCATGACAGTGAAAATGTTAATGACTGGGTTTTATCATTTTGGTAAAATAATCCGAGTTGAAATGGGGGTTTGTAATTAAGGGGATGCATCAGTTTCTGCATGCACACATTCCTGCACCTGGCCACTTAATTGTGCAAACAAACCTGAACACTATTACCTGCGAGTTGGCATCTTCCTCTATGAGTTACTCCATTTTCAGGAAAAAATGTGGGCTCGTCATAGTAGACGAAACTCATGAGCTAACTATCACCTGTATTTTGTGTATAGAGGCTAGCAAGGCGTCTGATTTTTGGGAAGTGGGATGCGAGGCTTGGCTCCGAGACAGATGCAGAGAGGATGAAGATCAGAAAGTTTAAGGAATCCGCCTGGAAAGGCGTTTATTTCCTTTCCGCGGAATTTCTGGCATTAGCTGTGACGTACAACGAGCCATGGTTCACCAACACAATGAATTTCTGGGTTGGACCAGGAGACCAGATTTGGCCAGATCAAACAATGAAGTAATATAAACTTCAGTTTCTCCATGTTTATTAGAATGTTCTTTTTTGGTACCAAATTATTAATAAATTCATTCCTTTCTCCAGGTTTAAACTAAAGGGGGTTTACATGTATGCTGCTGGTTTTTACATGTACTCAATAATTGCCCTTCTCTTTTGGGAAACAAGGCGTTCAGACTTTGGCCTTTCAATGACTCATCACATAGCATCTGTATTTCTCATTGTAATGTCATACATATTCAGGTGATTAGGCTTTTAACTATCTGAATATTTGTCAAGCTGGTTTATGTTAATTCAAGTTTAGTGCCTTCTTATACATTGCAATCATTACTTGCACACTATTTAGCTAATCTGATTCTTGTCATGATTCAAGTGGTGAGAATTATACTTGCTAGGGTGCAATAGCAAATGAATGTGCATGTCAGTGTTTGGCTATTTGGGCAGTTGTGCACGCATGTAAACCTGTGCATCTTCCAATGAATGTGGAAGGTAGATCCCTGCTGGTCTGTAACATATAGATGACAAAATGCAGACTCCGCAATACAAACTGTGTATACATTTGGTTATTCTTTCTATAGTGTTCATATATAACTGCATGCCTGCATATATCATATATTGTTAATCCATATTTGCGTTGCTTTTTGTATTAGTAAGATTTGCATGTACTAGCTTTCTGTTACATTTCCTCCATACTCTCAATTCATATATAGCTGCATATATCATATACTGTTAATCCATGCTTGCATTGCTTGTTCCCTAGAGAAAAGCTTTGCTTGTTTATTAGTAATTTGCCTGCTACTAGCTTTCTTTTACATACCTCCATAATCTTGGGGGATTTTACATGACAGCCTTCATTGAGCCAATAGTTGAGAAAAGTGTGGATTTGGAACAGCTTTCTGCTTCTAGAATGTAATGGAGAATGATGGATAGATAGAACAAGCATGGATTGCAACTGTAAAAAGATATTTACGAATGTTTACTTGTTTTGGTGGCTGGTATTTTTCTCCTGGTAGAGAATACAGTAGCTAGATATGCAACTCTGTTTGTCGGATTGTCATCTTATAGTTATACCCAGCTGATTGTCATCTCCTGGTAGAGAACATAAACATCAAGCATTTGTCTGCCTTTTTTTTATGCTTCTTTGTTACTAGCAGTTCTTTTAATAATACTAGCAGTTGTTGGAACGCCTGCACATGTTTTTCTTTGGTACTCTGAGCTGAGTAGTTTCCTTAACAGGTTTGCACGAGTGGGTTCAGTTGTGCTTGCCGTTCATGATGCAAGTGATGTGTTCCTGGAGGTTGGAAAAATTTCTAAGTACAGTGGACGCCAGTTGCTTGCTGATGTATCATTTCTTCTTTTCGTCATTTCTTGGGTGATCCTTCGCCTGATATATTTTCCATTCTGGATTCTCTGGAGCACTAGGTACATACCAGTAACTCTGTTCTTACATGGGGTTCTATACTTTAGGTAACTCTAGAATGTCGCTAAAACTTGTGCATTTCTTCTGTAAATTTCAGCTATGAAATTGTTCATATTTTGAACAAGGAGAGACATAAATTTTATGGGCCGATATACTACTATGTGTTCAACTGTCTTCTGTTCTCCCTCCTTGTTCTACACATATATTGGTTTGTCTTAATGAAGCGAATGCTCGTGAAGCAAATTCAGTCTAAAGGGCATGTTGGGGATGACATTAGATCTGGTAGGTTTCTCTTTCCGAGTTAAATTTGGTTAATATATTACCTGTCACTTCAGTCTCAGCCTTGTATATACTTGTATTTATGGTCATTTATTATCCATCAGTCTAAGTCACATAATATATGGCTCAGATTTGCTTATGTGTTGTGATGTTTACTGTTTTCCTCCTTTGCTTAGATTCGGAATCTGACGAGGAACGTGATGATTGATTATTTTCAAGAACATAACACGAGGATTGATTGAACCGTGTAGATTCTGGAGGTCAAGAGGAGCATGATGATTAGTTGATCTGTTTCTGTATTAACCGTTTCATCATTGCATATAAAGCTGATATATTACCATGCTGTGCCATGTCCCTGAATCATTGTTCTGTTCTGCTAGTCCTTCTCTGTGAATTTCCCAAATAGATGTCACGCGAGCATTTTACATTTATGCATACTTAGGTCAAACTGAATAGTATCACACAGATACAATACTTCATGGAAAGTATGAGCTGTGTATATATCTGCCTCTACCCCCTTCAAACTTTCAAATCTTTGCAAGGTTTCTAATCAAATTGGTCAACATACAACGCCAATTTGTTTTTGCTCAACATAGCGTGACAGCATATTGAAATTTATGTGCCTTTCTCAAAGAAAGAATTCATGATCACTTTTACTTGACATAGCAAGGGAGTGTAGTGCAACTACGCCCCTTTCTCAGAGAAGGATTTAATAATCCATACTGCACTAGCCAAGAAATCTCATTCTGGTGCCTTTGCATGTTTCGAAACTGATGTCGTAAACCGTTATTGAAATTGTGTGTGAACCTGCACGTATCATTAGCCCATAGTAGTAATTATTCTCCCAGAAGTGCGTAACCATGGTTTATTGTTATGTGTGTCTGTTAATGTTAAGCCATGATGTTTCTTATTTAATGTCCTCGCAGATCACTGATATTGGACCTATGTGGTTCAAAATATGTTATGTTATTAATAACTACTATGCTCCATGTTGTTTACCCAAGGCAAAGCAGAGTTGTTCATCTTGACATGTAAAAATGCTACTAACAGTAGAAGTCCCAACCTTTGTTGCTACTCTTGATAATCGCGTGAAATACTTGAATTGTTGTTAGATGTTTTCTCTTATGTCACACTTCACATTTACGTTGGACCACACAATGATTTGTCTTCATATGGTCTCAGAGCAAACTTAAATGATTTACAAGAGATTTTGGACACTTGCACAATGCATTGAACCATATGATTACGGTGTCCATCATTCCATGTGTCTGTCAACACATTTTTTGTTATCTCATTACATCAGAACCATGGAACAGTATTATAGCTACTAGTATCTGGTAGGGCTGGTGGTGACAGCATGTGGTCCTCCTCATGCTCTATATCTGATCTTTTAGCGAATCGACCCTTGATCCGTGGTCGTGCTTCTGCATAAGCTTTCCTTGTTGCATACCTTATGGTTTTCTGAAACTTCCTTGTCTGCTTCTTCTCCTTGTACCTGAGGACCCTGGCCTCTCTGTCCATGGAGCTGAAGTGCACTGGCATCTGAAGTGAATGGCCTGAGAGCTCCATGGCTTCACTGCCAGTCAGGATGTTGCTGTTTGAGATATCTGGTCTGGTGTTGTCTGGTATTATACCCACCTCCATTGATGAGAAAGATATCTGAGATAGAATTGCCAAATAGTCACTGAAATACTTCAATAATATGAGAAGTGCTGGTTTTGAACACCCTGCAATAAGATGAAACTGAGACCTTGACCCCCCAAACTATAAAACCTGCACTTATATGTCGGTAGATGAGTTTGAGATCTTAAGTAACTAACAGCAGTTCA